TATATTTATCTAAGCATCTATGGGTGCACGCTCTATCTATGTCTGCATCCATCTATCTCTGTAGGAATCTACCCATCTAGTCATCTGTCTTTGCTCATTTATCTGTCTGGCAAACACTGAGTCTCATTGCCACCACCAATTCCAATAACACAGGGTTCATCCACTTTTCATATCTGTATTGCTCTTCTTTAACTGGAGGGCACCTTGACCCACTATCCTCAATATATTTACCAATTTCCATGGGCCTAGAATATACAGAAAGCATTTTACATAAGCTAAGCTTCCCAAGATTGATCCCAGAAGGAATAAAGGAAAGAACCTACAAGGAAGGCCATGAGAATATAAACCCAATGAGGTATATTAGAGTGACAAACAAGACGGAAAGTATAACATATTTAAACACAGAACAGAGCATTATAGTTTGATCTTTCCAGGTGCATTATTATTGATCATTTTATTCACTGAATTGTTATTTTAATATTTTTGACTTACAATTTTTCATCAAGAATTCTGATTTTAATATTTTTAGAAGCGCCACGATGTCCACCACCACCTCAGATTCCCAATTCTCAACATATGGCCCTTTCAGTGAATTTTCAAGAAGGAGAAAAAATATCTATTCTCTGTCAAGAAAACTTTCTAATCCAGGAAGGAGAGGAAATCGTGTGCCAGGATGGACGATGGCAGTCAATACCGCGCTGTGTCGGTCAGTAGTGGGTCACTTGCGTTACACTGTCTCTCAGATGAGGGTAACCCACACCCCTGCTTTGTGTAAAGGAACAAGAGGACCCCTTTCCCCTACCCATCCCACTTCATCTCCAAACAGTACACACCATCCAGGTGCCAAAATCAATCAGCATTATTTCCCTTCTAATGTGAAATGAATGCAAACAGAAACTTCCGGTGACTGTGGAAATACCTAAGTTCTGTTTATGCGTATGTCACTCCTCAAGACGAACAGGAGGAGACTGAAGAGGCATATGGGACACATGGACAGTAGCATCAATTTTATGGGCACATATATCTTTGCAAGTTTCAAATACTTTTAGTTATTAATAATTTAATTGGTTCCAATGTCCCTAGTTTAAAATCCCAAACAGTGTTGGATTTTATTTTTCAATTTAAACAACACTACCTTGCTTCACCCTTTAATCTCTATTTTTTCTATAGAAAACACGCTGTGTTCTCAACCATCTCATGTAGAACATGGAAGCATTATTTCATCCAGATCTTCAGAAGAAGGAAAAGAAACATTGGGACCCAAGCTATATGCGCATGGCACCACATTACGTTATATTTGTAAGGATGGTTTCAAATTATCCAAAGAAGATGGGATAACATGCCACCGGGGAAAATGGAGTGCTCCACCACAGTGTGTAGGTGAGGACAGCATGCAAACTAAAGTTCTGTTTGGTACAGTTCAGTAAGATAATCCATCGCCATCATCAAAGCCATGAGAAATCACTCTTTAGATTTATAAATATAGAAAGCCATTATATGTCACTTACATATTACCATATTTTGCCAAATGATTTTTGCACAAACAAATTAAACCAATTTTTATTAATTTTATTGGCTCATTATGAAATCACTTTTAATTCGGGCATTTCTTTCCTACAAAAACTGGAAGTGTGGTGAAATGAAACTGCACTGTTCATATAAGTTTACCCATTCATATCCTACATGTTCATATGGGTTGCAATGAAGGCTTTGCCATCAGGTTTTTTAAATATTTATGTTCTCTCTCCATTGTCCATTCTGATCTCTTACAACAGAGGATACTTTTCTTAAGATGATTCTCAATGTGTTTCTTTTTATTGCTCATGGTTGGTTAGGGAAGTGTTGACAGTCCCATTCTTAGATGTGTTCACATTTCTCCAAGTTCCTGCTCAGGCTGACAGCTGGACAACCACCATGGTGGTTTGTCAAGCATTTGTGCGCCTTTCCTGTCATGTGATATTAGCACCTGTGTGATCATTTTCTTTCAAATGAAAGTACCAAATAATGACAACCAGGACATGAAGTAAAGTTCAGTTAGTGAAATACGCAGTCATTCTTTCTTTTTTTTCTTTTCTTCTTTCTTTTAGGAATTCCTTGTGGACCACCCCCTGAGGTTTCCAATGCTGTTGTATTTGGCAGATTAAACAGTTATCCACATGGGGGAAAATATACGTACACCTGTAACATTGGATTTCAGATTCAGGGACCTGCCTATGTGGAATGTTCAGGAGGAAAATGGTCCAGTCCACCAGAATGCACAAGTATAGTGTATTTCATTTTATTCTGAGGCTGATGAATATCTTTAGTTCAGAGCATCCATGGTAAAACTATAAAACTGTACTAGTTCTAGAAGGTATCTCTAGAAAGTTCTGGATTCCAGTAGAGAATTAATAGCCCTGGTAATATTAAAACTTTGGACAACAGGGGCCAAATTATTTCGTTTGATGTCATCTGTGTTCACTTTCCATGTGTTCTGATGGGCAACCTCTGACTTCTCTCATCTCTTCTTGTATCACAGCTGGTCCCTGCTCACCCACCTCATCATTATTCAATTCATTGACAGTTTATCAGTTTTTTCCTCATAAATCCATAATGTTCTAAGATGGTTGATGTAGCCAGGCCCACATGTGTCGCTGGTTGAGCATATAACTATGAACAAGTAGGTGACAGTTCGATTCCCAGTCATGGCACATACAAGATTGCAGGATCTAATCCCCAGTAAGGGGCATGCTGGAGGCAGCCCATCAATGATTCTCTCTTATCATTGATGTTTCTATCTCTCCTTCCCCTCTGAAATCAATAAAAACATAGTTGTTTTAAGATGTTTGATGTAACTATGGGAAACCAATTTGGACAGAAGCAAAAAATGTAATATGTACATAGTGTTTGTGGCCCGTGTGGACAAATAAGGATTTGGATGTAAGAAGTTTGGTCTTGATCATGACCTGTATACCCATCTCCTCAGGCTTTCAATACCACCATCCCCACATGATACCTTTAATAAATGTAAAATTATTCAATGTAATTGAGTCAAATCTGCTTGAATTTTCAAGTTATAAGAAAAACATTGTACAGAAGGCATTGGTTTTGTGTGTATCTATTATATTCTAAAGTAAAATTATTGGCCGACATGTTAAAGATTTACTGAAAGGTCTATGTTCTTGCCTTTTCAGCAAAGACTTGTTCTATCCCACCCAGCTATGACAACGCCATCCTCGTGGGCCAGCCGAAGAACTCATACAAGTCAGGAGAACAAGTGACTTATAGATGTCCAGACTATTACCAAATGGATGGATCCAATATTGTACAGTGTATGAATGGCAGGTGGATAGGAACACCCACATGCAAAGGTATTTTGGTCAATGGCTTCTAGCATCATTAAAAATTAGACGCAGGTTCTGGTGAGGCCAGATCAAGGAAGGTTTATGCCTCAACAGAGGGGAATAGGATGTGTACTCAGTGCTGGGCATAGGGGCCCCAGATCCCTCAGAGTGTGACCCCGGAAACAGCTCTGGGGAATCGGTAGAAAGGCAAATGCAGACTCACAGGCTCACTCAGACTCTGCATCAGAAGTCAGGGGTTGTGACCTTGAAACCGTTGTAGCAATTCCCAGCGGGCTCTGCGCCCATTTTGTGGGGAACCGTAGCTTCAGCCTCTTATAGCATCAGAAGTCAGGGGTTGTGACCTTGAAACCATTCTAGCAATTCCCAGCGGGTTCTATGCCCATTTAGTTGGGAACCGTAGCTTCAGCCTCTTATTACTTTACTAGAGGTCTGTGCACGAAATTCATGCACTTGTAGGGTCCCTAGGGGCTGCCGGCTGCCAACCACGTATTCTCTCCCTTTCCTGGCCACCTGCCACCACCTGCTGCCGCTGCCAGCCAGGGCCTCTCTCCCTTCCCCCAGCTACCTGCCAGCACTGCCAGCCAGAACCTCCCTCCCTTTCCCCACCTGGTCTGACCCCTGGTCGAACTCCTGGAAGAACTTAGGTCGAGGGGACAATTTGCATACTACACTTTTATTATATAGGATATCTACCCAAGTCTCCCCAATGAACTGCACAGTGCTCACTGCCGTGTCCTTAAGAACTCACATTATTGGAGTATTTCTGAAATTGTAAATATATTTTACTCTTATTTTTCTTTAATTTCGGTGTGGACCTTTTGATTTTTAATCTTTATTGTTGAAAGTATTCCAAAAGTCCACTTTTCTCCCCATTGACCCCTTCTAGCCTGGCCTTGGCCCCCACCCCAGTCTTTCACCCCCCTGTTGTCTGTGTCCATGGGTTATGCATGAATCTATACAAGGTCTTTGGTTGTCTCTTCCCACCCCACTACCCACCATATGATATCCCTCAATGTAATATATACATAGTGTCTGTGCCCGTGTGGACAAATAAGAATTTGGATATAAGAAGTTTGGTCTCAATCATGACCTGTATGCCCATCTCGTCAGGCTTTCAATCCCACCATAGTACATTTCCTTCAACCATAAAAGCCTGTTAATTCTTGCCTCAAAACCTGTTAATTCTTGACTTCCTGTCTCCGAAAGTGGCTACTGTCACTGATCTCCGAAAGGCCTAAAATAAACATTCAAAAACATAATGTCTGTGAAACACATTTTGATGCCAAATAAGGGATTGATTATGAGTACTGAGGGTTTACAAATTCATTTTGAATTTACATAATTGATGTTGGGTTTACTAAACTTCAAGGAAAATGTTCAGAAAAATGATCTTTTTCTCTTTTTTACTATTAGGTCTTAAAATTTTTGTCTTGAAGTTATTGGGGTGACATTGGTTAATAATTGGTGCTGGGAAAATTTGTCCCAACACGATCTTTTCTGATATATCTCCTCGAGCAAGGGAAACAAAAGAAAAAAATAAACAAATAGGACTACGTGAAACTAAAAACTTTTGCACAGCATAATCATCATTTTCATTGGCCTAAAAATCTCTATTAACCTTAGAGAGAGGACGGGAAATAAATTTAAGATATAGAAGTTTAAAACTTACCCAAAAAATTGCTTTGTCTATTTTCAATCTTGGATGTAAATTTGTGAAGATTTTCAATCTCAATTGCCTCTAAACGACCGCTACATTAGAGATCCATTTTTTTTCTCTTTATTCAGATCTCTCCTGTGGCAGCCCTCCCACAGTGCAAAATGCCTTTATACCAAACCAGAAGCCTAGGTATCAACATAGGGACACAGCACGTTATGAATGCAGGCGCCCTTTGGGCCTCTTCAGGAATGCAGTGGTGACATGCTTAAGAGGGAATTGGACAGACCCACCTGAGTGCAAGGGTAGGTCCCTCATTCTCCCCTCCCAGTCTCTGTGCAGCTTCTGTAAGCACTTGGTTACTAGACTTCTGTCCAGCTGGCCTTCATTGGTTACTCAGGTTTGTTGCTCTATCGTTTCCTGTAAATCGGTTTGGGGCCAGGAGGGGGTGAGTGTAGCTCCCACCTACTCCGAAACGCCCTTAAAATCAACTGCTCACTTTAAACCAACAATGTCCTCTCTTAGAGTCCACAGGACAATGTAAGCCCCCTCCTGCTATTGACAATGGAGACATTACCACGGATCCATTAGCAGTCTACGCTCCCGGGTCTTCAGTGGAGTATCAATGCCAGGCCTACCATGAACTTGAGGGAAACAGGAGAATAACATGCCTTGATGGACAGTGGTCTGAGCCACCCAAATGCTTAGGTAAGTCCTTTAATATTCCTGTGGACTCTGAGTAAAATCAATGTAATGCATAGGTTTTACTGTTTATGATCACATTTTGATGAATTAATGAATAATGCTAGCCCTATCAGGTTCAGCTCAGTGGAAGAGTTTTGGTCTGAGGACTGAAGGGTTCCAGATTTGATTGTGGTCAAGGGCACATGGCCAGGTTGCAGGCTCCATCTCCTGTGGAGGCGTGCAGGTGGCAGCCAATCAATGATT